ATTGCTTCCTTGTGTCAACCTGAAAACTGCTATAACCATCAAAAGTAAAATAGATCTAGACACAAGCTTATATCCTTTATAGCACAGACTTCGTAATACCAGATACTTAGAGCTACAACTCAGATTCCAGACATGATGGTACTGCCCGTTCTTACTGGCTAAGGAGTATGATCTGAAAAAGAGAAGCTGAACTGAAAGTTCATGATGACAAACCAACCCAGAGGTTGGAAATGGGAAGTCTTATGTCTTGTCAGGCCTTAGGTCTGTTTAATTTGGCCCACCTGATGTTCAGTATTTTTAAAAATGATTTGATAATACTTCAAAGTTAGAAAATTTCATATAAAAACTTGGATTGTCAGTTTTTATTGAAAAACAGAAGATCCAGTAAGCTTTGTCTTCCACGTTTCTTAGCTGGAGTAGTATTTGGAGCTGAGTAATACCTGCTCCCATCAGGAAGGTTGTTGAGTGCCTATCTGTACATCTTGAATGCGGACTGCAGAAGGTAGTTTTATGGGAAAGGCATGCGACATGTGAGGGATAACAGTGAGCTTTTCTTAACAAAGAATAGAGAAAATATAATTTAAGAAATCAGTTTGTAAGCAATACCAAGAGCTGATTCATTTTCTTTGTTGAAAGTAGTCTATTTGGTGAGATTCCAATTTCTGCACATTCTAACTTTCATAGGGAAACAGCTATGATGGTCTGCATGAAATTTTAAGACTTTTCTACTGAGGAATAAATTTAAAAAAGGAAGTGCAGGACTTTATGGGTAAAAGAAATTGCAAAACCTTATTAAAGCACTGAAAAGAAGACAAGAAAAATGGTCAGATATAATATGCTCAGGGATGAGAAGACTCAACATTGTAAAAATGTAAATTGTCCTCCAGTTAATCTATAAAATCAATGCAATTCTAGGGGGGAAAATGCACCAAAAATGCTCACGTATGCTGGTAAATTATTCTCGATTTTATCTAAAGGAGTAAAATCCAAGAAAGGACAAGATGATTCTGGCAGAGAAAACAAAAGAGAGGGAAATGTCATAAAACATATGAGGCTTGTGACAAGAGTATCATAATTAAAACAGCTTGTATTGGTTCAGTAGTAATCAAATACACAAGGGCATCAGAATAGAAAGCTGAAAAATAGATCTTGTACATATGGGCTTTGCTGTATCTGACACAGAAAATCACCAGAGAAAGGATGAATTATTTGATATGTAGAAGTCTGAAAATTGGTTTTCTTTACAGAAAAACTACTTGTATGCCTACCTCCCTTCGTAGAGGAATAAGCTCTAAAATAATTAAAAATCTAAATGTGGGGAAAAAAAACTCTGAAATCATGATTAAAAAGGTTAAGAAAATATCTTTATGATTTCAGGTCTAGGAGGGACTTTTTAAAAACAAAATAATAGCCGGTGCCGCAACTCACTAGGCTAATCCTCCACCTGCGGCGCCACACCCTGGGTTTTAGTCCCAGTTGGGGCGCCAGATTCTGTCCCGGTTGCTCCTCTTCCAATCCAGCTCTCTGCTGTGGCCCGGGAAGGCAGTGAAGGATGGCCCAGATCCTTGGGCCCTGCACCTACATGGGAGACCAGGAGGAAGTACCTGGCTCTTGGCTTCAGATCAGCACAGCGTTCCAGCCATAGCGGCCTCTTGGGGGGTGAACCAATGGAAAAAGGAAGACCTTTCTCTCTCTCTCTCTCTCTCTCACTGTCTAACTCTGCCTGTCAAAAAATAAATAAAACAAAATATTTTTAAAAAGGTAATTATACTTTATAAAAATTTGAAATTTTGTATGGCAAAGGATGTCTTAAGGCCAATAGTCTACTTGAAGTGACACTTTGAGTAAATATAACAGTTGGCAAAGGACTTCAATTTAGAATATACAAAGAATTCCTATAAATCAGTGGAAAGCAATATAAACATCTCAGTAGAAAAACGAGCAGAAGATACTCCGAGGCAACAACCGGGAGAAGACACTGAAATGACAATAAAATGTGAAAAGACAATTAAAATATTTCAAAAATAGTTAGAGTTAAAATAAGGGAAATGATACGTATGTCCATACAAAGATTTGCAGCTTTATTTGTAATAGTGAAAACACTGGAAATTATCAATTTTCCATTATACATAGTATATCCACATACTCAACAAAAATAAACTAAATACGTATACACAGCAATATGGATAAATCTCAGAAATCATTATTAATCTCAAAAAGAGAATGCATATTAAATGAGTGCATTTAATGTAAGAAATCTAGAAAATGTAAACTAGGGGTGGGCTTTTGTCTCAGTAATTTAGAAGCCATCTGGGACACCTGCATCCTATTTTGGAGTGACTGGGTTCAATACCTGCTTCCCTTCTCAATCTGTCTTCCTACAATGCTCACCCTTGGAGGCAGTAGGTAATGAATCAAGTACTTGGGTCCCTGCAACTTATATGGGACACTGAGATTGAGTTCAGGGTTCTTGACTTTGGTCTGGTCCAGTCCTGGTTTTTAAGGGCATTTGGGCTGTGAACCAGCAGATATCACAATCCCTCACTCTCCTTTTCTCTCTCTCTTTCTGCCAAAAAATATATATTTTTAAACAATGCAAGTTAATTTATGGTGAAAGTAAAAAGGTAAGCTATTTCCTGGTGTACTCATTTTCTAATGCTTTATGATCCATCACAACAATCTTAAAGACTTAAACCCATATTTACTATGTCACATTTCATAGACAGGAGTTACCTGGGTGCTCTGCTCAGGGTGGAATCAGGGCTACATTCTCATCTGTGGTTTTGGGTCCTCTTTCAAGCTCCATCATTGTTAGTAGATTTCAGCTCCTTGTAGTTGCATGAATGAAGGCCTGAACTCTTCTTTATAGGGTCTCCCGTTCTCTGCCACATGGTACTCTCCACCCATGGAAGTTTGGTTCTTTCTGTCTACCAGGAGAGTTTGTTTACATTTCTTAATCATCATTGCTCTGACTCTCTTTGAGAACCTTTTTTTTTTTTAAAGAAAGCTCACATGGGTGGCTCAGTAAATTAATCCTCCACCTGCAGCGCCGGCGTCCCATATGGGTGCCAGTTCATGTCCCAGCTGCTCCTCTTCCAATCCAGCTCTCTGCTGTGGCCTGAGAAAGCAGTAGAAGATGACCCCAAGTCCTTGGGCCCCTGCACCCACGTGGGAGACTGGGAAGAAGCACCTGGCTCCTGGCTTCAGATCGCTGTAGCTCCAGCCGTTGTGGCCATCTGGGGAGTGAACCAACGGAAGGAAGAATTCTCTCTCTCTGTCTCTCCCTCTCACTGTCGGTAACTCTACCTCTCAAAATAAATAAATAAAAATAAATGAAGAAAAATCTTAAAAAAAAAGCTCAAATCGTTAGAACAGGTCCATTTTAGATGACCTCCCTTTTGATTATTTGAAGTCAATTGCTTAGGAATCTCAATTCCATTTGCAAAATTTTTCACCTTCACCGTATAATGTAGCCTAAGCCTTGGAGTGCTGTGCTATCTTCTTCACAGTTCCCCTTCACACTCAAGGCAAAGGGTGCATATGCCAGGAGGTGGAAAACTTGTGGACCGTCTTAGAATCCTGTTCACTGCACCTGGAGTGTGAAGTTGAGGAGATGTACATAAAGCAGTATGCTTTATCACTCTCCTTAACCACTGTCTATATTGTGGTGTTTTCTCAGATAGAATGGAAATGGCAGTTGCTTTTTATTTTTCACTGTTCCTTCCAAAAAAGACACCTGTTTTGTTGAGTAAAATGATTGATGTTTATGGTGACTCAAGTAAAGAAAAAAAAATTGAAGGAGAGATGGTTTGCACAGAAGCATGAGGAAATTTGGAAGTGATAGAATACTCAGTAACTTTATTTTGGTGGTGGGCTCATCTGTCTCTGCAGTGCTGAAAAAACATCAAATTGTACCCTTTACATAGGTACAGTCTTTTGTACATCAGTAAAGGCTTACTAGAGTTGTCAATTAAATCGAAACATTGTTTATCCATCAAACTGGTGAATTATTAAAAGTTCTAAATGGACCTTGAGTGTAAGGAATAATGGAAACACACAGGGATATTTTTAAAAGTTCATTGGAAAAGGAATTAAAAAAAATTTTATTTGGATACAAAAATGTTTGGAACTTACCTTTTAACCCCATTTTCCTACATATATTTTGAAGTATCATTCTATGGTGCTGTGGCAATAAAGTATACATTGAGAGATGTTTGGTCATACCTAGAAAAAGAGATGAACAGTGTTGTATTTTAAGACCCAGGAATTCTGCTAGATAGCTAATGTAGAGAAACTCACCCATCACCACCAAGAATAAGTACAAAGATGTACATTGTATATTGTTGCAATGACAAAAACTGAAAACAATTTAAATATCCAGTTAGACAAATGGATAAACATGGCATATTCATAATATGAGACACCAAGAGATAAAAATGAATGATCTAGATATGCATAGATCAACATATCTCAAAAATCTGTTGTCAAAAGAAAGCAAGTTGTGGAATGATTGCTAATTATGGTAACATTTATATACAAAAATGCAAATATTGTGCATGCTGTTGAAAAAGTATGTAATAGCTTATGTAACAACAGGAAGGAGAAGAAAAAACAAATCCATGAATTTGAGAGAAAGAAAACAAAACTGAGGATTTTGGAAATTCTGAGTAATACTCTTGAAACTTTTTTATAAATCTAAAATATTCTAAATTTAAAATTTATGTTGTAAACGAAAGCATCACCTACTGGCCCCAGCAACAGTTTGGCAGAACAGCATGTAGAGAAATACTGTTTTGTAGGCAAGCAAGTTTGCAGTGACATCTTTGTTTTATCACTCATGGTCACCTAGTCATTGAGAAGTCACACAATTACTTTGAGCTTCCATTTCCTCTTGTGCAACATGATGATGACCTCTAATTCAGAGAACCATTGAGACATTAAATGTGATGTGTAAAGCATTCGGCACATAATTAGGGCTCAGTAACAATTACCCATTATTCCAGTATTTGACAATTTTATTTGAGAAGCAGAGTTAGCTAGACATAGAAAAAGAGACAAAGATATAGACAGAGAGTACACCTATCAACAGTTCACTCTTCAAACTCCTATAACATCTGGGGCCAGGTGAGGGCCAAAGCTGGGTCCAGGTCTGATATGAGCTTGAGCCATTACCCACTGCTGCCCAGAATCTGCCTTGGCAAGAAGTTAGAATCAAGAGCCAGAGCTGTTGTCTGACTACAGACTCCAATGTTGGCCGTGTTGTCTTAACCACCAGACCAAACACTCACCTTTATTAGTCTAATTTAATACGGTTATTATAGTATCACCTTAAATATGCTTTTTTGATGAGATAACAAGAATCATATCATCCATGAACTATTTTATTTTAAGGGAAAAAAAAAAAAGCTTGATTTGCCTGATGTCTCCCAGAAGAGGTTTGCACTCACTCTGTTAAACAATAAAATATACACAGTGTTAACCATCCCTCTGACAATATGGGACACGTCAGGGGAAAAGAAACTACTTGCAGATTATACTAAGCCATGTGCTTAGGCAGCAGAATTTTCTCTCCCAGACTTCCTTAACCACAACCAAATCTCAGGGTTACAACACTCTCCATCCCATGGCAGGAGAGGACGCAAAGAGGGAAGAAGAAGTTTGATGGGCATTAATCTCGTCCTTCAACCAAATTAAGTGGGGCGGGGAGCAAAGTCCTGTAAGTTTTTAACAGAACGATCTTTCAATGCATTAGATAATGTGACCCATCTTGATTTCATCAGATGCTTCCTGTTACAGAGGGGGGAGTAGGAAGGGGCAAATGCAGTCACTCTTCCTACCTCTCTCCAGTTTATCTGTAAAATGAAATATTGTGCCATGATGAAAATCCTGTTTTTAAGGATTTACTTATTTGAGAGGCAGAATTAGAGAGAGGGAGGTCTTCCATCTGCTGGTTTGCTACTCAAATAGCCGCAGTGGCCAGAGCTGGGCCAGTCCGAAGCCAGGAGCAGGGTGCAGGGGCCCAAGCACTTGGGCCATCTCCCACTGCTTTCCCAGGCCATCAACAGAGAGCTGGATTGGAAGAGGAGCAGCTGGGACATGAACCGCCACCCATATGGGATGCTGGCACTGTAGGCAGAGGCTTAAGCCTGCTATCCCACAGTGGTGGCCCCCAAAGTCCTGGTTTCATGGATACTACATACTATGGGAAAGAATGCTCATAATATAGTTATGGGAGGAGGGGGAAGGTTTCAGTCTTATTTATACATAATTGATATTTAGGGGGGAATGGGCAGTAGTCACTGGCATAGAGAAAAGATTGGGAGGATAAACTTTTAAGTCAAAAATGGTGGGATTCTGTAAACTTTATACATTTATGTATTTTCCAGACTACAGTAGACTTATGTGAAAGAGTGCAAACTGTTAAACGAGCTTAGTTTCATTGATTATTAGTATGTATGCTACAAATTATTGAAGGGAAAAAATACGTGAAGTTAGCTTACGTGTGTTCTTCAGTTTACTCCTCTAACAATAATAGCATTAGATTTACTATTTTTGAGCTCCCACTATAAGCCAAGCACACTCCAAGCTCTTGAGTATTTAGGTTCGGCTCTGGAATCAGTCTGTCAAGGTTCAAAGTAAGGCTTAATCCCATTCTATCTGCATGACTTTGGGCAAGGTAATGACTGAGCTTTCATATTCTCTGATTCTTAATATCTACTTCTATAAAATGGGCATTAAAGACAACAGCCACATCATGGCGTTATTGTACTTAGTGAAATCATGGAAATAGACTATTTCAAATATCTCGACATATAGTAAATGTTGATTAAAATTATTACATGGGAGGACATGTTAAGGCTTAAGGAAGCTGAGTCAGTCTAACGTCATATGTCTCTAAATGGGGAAGACTTAAAACCTCGTCACCTCCAACAGCAGGCTTCTCATTATTACACCATGAATTGTTCTTCTTGCCAAGTCACTTAAAGCATAGAATGATAGACAGCTGACTTGGACTGATAGGTTGCTTTGGGCCTGAATTCAACTTTTATATTAAACTAATTTTTAAATAAGTCTAAAGCTGTATCAAGCCTTCTAGTTCTACCAAAATAAGAATTTTTCTTTTGTATTTGAGCAAATCAAATGACCAGAGTACCCCCTCCCAAACTTCTAACTTGGGAGACAGAAATGTCTCATGTTATATGTTTGAAAAAATGAGTTATAAAACATGGTATGTTCTGTGATCCAAAAAAAAAAGTTTTATAAAGCCCCAAGGAGACAATAAGATTTAAGAGAATCTATTCACCTTGATTTTATTTAGTGCTAGTTAATGCTAGCACTCAGCTATAAGTTGATGTATAAGATAAACCATTTCTTAGCGCATTTGAAGCTTTCTGAAAGTCACTCACTACAGTCACATTTCAGAGGACAGTTTTTCAGGGGAGGATGAAGAATGTATTCACATTAATCATTTCCCCAGCATATAAGGCGTGTGTGAAACAGAGTGAGGTGGAGGCTGGCCTTGGGAAGAATAAACTCTTTGGAAGAGGGCATTGGCTGATTCCTGTCCTTTGATGAACTCAGGATCACTCTCCTGATGGTTAGCCCCATGGAACCAGGCCTCAGAAGCCCAGCATTGTTTGTTTGTTTGTTTGTTTTTTACCTTTCTTGGCTTTGGTCTCCTGCCTGAAAAATAAAGAGGATGGGCAGTAAACCAGTGGTTCCCCTGAAACTGATGGATTCTTAACATTCTCCTGGGGAAAGCTCAAGAAGAGATTCTTGGACTCAGCTCCAGATACACTGAAGCTGAATCCTTGGATACATGGCTTAAGAAGTTGGCTGTTTAACATGCTCATTGGCTCATTATGCTTTCTTTGTCTTTTTTTTTTATTATTATTTTAAACTGATACCCTAAAAATATACTTGTTTATAAAATAAATCACATGGAATTTTATGCATTCTTTTTGATAAATGAGAGTTGTATAACATTTAAATTGGGGTAAACACACTCATCTCAAAATTTATCAGTTTTTATGGTGTTAGCCTATTCTTCTAGAACATTTTGAGTTCTTGCCACACACACTAGTATTGGTATACACCAGAGCTGTGGTTTTTGATTCCCAAGGTCCAGAACTAGTCTACTCCTGTAGAACACTGATTTTTAAGGACCTCTCATCTTCTCCCCACCTCCCCCACAGGCAGAGTTAGACAGTGAGAGAGAGAGAGAGACAGAGAGAAAGGTCTTCCTTCCGTTGGTTAACCCCCCAAATGGCTGCTACGGCAGGAGCTATGCCAATCCGAAGCCAGGAGCCAGGTGCTTCCTCCTGGTCTCCCATGCGAGTGCGGGGCCCAAGCACCTGGGCCATCCTTCACTGCCTCCCCGGGCTACAGCAGAGAGCTAGACTGGAAGAGGAGCAACCAGGACAGAATCCGGCACCCTGACCGGGACTAGAACCCGGACTGCCAGTGCTGCAGGTGGAGGATTAGCCAGGTGAGTCACGGCACCGGCTGGGGCCTCTCATCTTAAGAAATGGAAGGTAAATAAATCCATAATTCCCTCTCTAAGCTCTGTTTTTTCTTTCCATACCCATTGTTGTGTGTCTGCTTATTAAATTAAACCTCATTCCAAAGACAATTGGTGGCACCTATACACCATGTGATATATTTCTTAAATGCAATCCAACAATATTTCTCCTTTTCTTATCTTTTGCTTCTATATTTGAACCCACAATTTCATACTTTGGGATTAAGTGAATTGCAAAATTATTTAAATGTTGTCCTCCATTTGTTAGTCAACTACAGGCACTAGATGGTCATATATCATCTTGAGAATTCAAGACACAATTTCAAATTGCAATTATTCCATTTTCACAGATGAGAAAATTGAGGTTAATTGGGGCTAAGTTTGCCAAATCAGAGTTTTCAGCATCAGGAATTTCAGGATTAAAAATCACTGTTAGAAGACCAGTAGCTTGTGCATACTGCATTGCATTATTGCCTTTCCTGACTGCAAACAACTTAAATATCTAACAGTTGGGGGAACGTTTAAATTAATCACTGTATATTGACTTTATGACACATTGGATAGCTATTAGAAGTTTGATTTACTACGTGATTATGACTAAGTCAACTGCATGCATCTTGTCTCAATTATTGCTGCATAAGGAGCACATAAAACTTAGTGCTTAAAACAATAAGCATTTATTAAAACTCACTGGTTTATTCATGCACAAATGGTTTTGCTGATCAGCTGGTCTTGCTTGTGTGTGTCGTCAGCCATTGTGTCAGCCAGGTACTGACTGATTTGGGATAGCCTCACTGACATAACTGGTGGCCAGCTGACTGCTGGGACAATGTATGTAACTCAACCATATGTTGTACTTCTGTCATCCTGTGGGCTAGCCCAGGCTTATTCACTTGATGGCTTGGAAAGACTCCAAGAAAGGTAAAGCTACAAGTCAACTTGAGACCTTGGCTCAGAGTGGGTGCTTCACTTCTGTGCAGCCTATTGCCAGAGATAGATATGCCAAGAGTGTAGCTTCAGGAAGTAGGGATCAGCTGTCTTTCATTTGAAAGCTTAAAGTCATAGTGAACAAATGTGGACACAGTAAAAGAGATAATAGGGTCATTTTTCCTAGTTCTTGTATGAACAAGAACTAGAAGGCATATGAAAATGAGAAAATTGATGTTGGCAAATTAGGGCCATAGATGTTCTTTTTCCCATTTTATTTCATGTATATGGATATAGCTCTGGTGTAATACACAACAAATAAGAAAAGAAATAATAAGAGAATCTATGCTAAGAAGATGATCAACATCTTCATTACTCACAACAATGAAAAGATTGTATCAGTAATTTGCATATCATACACCAGCATAACCTCCTGTTCTGTAGTGCATGCTAGTGGGTAACAAAGGAAAGGATTTGACATTGCCAAAGCTAAGTAGGTCTCTAAAATACACCCAGTAGCCTTGGCTCGTGAAAGGAACTCCGCTGTGAGATACCCAACTGTTCTTAGCACAACTGCACACTCTGCTTATTACCAAGACTGGCACCATCTCAGGGCTGTAACACTTTGGCAATCTCCAGAACCCACAGGGAACTATTCTTTCTTAATAGCCATGATTTCTGATAGTTGAAGTTTTGCCCTTTTAGGAAGCAAATTTTTAGCTTTTTATTTTTTAAAGATCAGAACTGTTTTGAATAGAAGTTATTCTTGAAAAATACAAATTGTTCATGTCCTTGTGTCTTAAAATAGAGTTGATAGAAAACATGCTAACAGTTTGTAACAATATTGTTCTTTGCCACAGCACAGGGACATCCTCGGAACCTGTGGAGCAAAGCAGGGTTGCTTTGCCCTTACATAAAATATACTGAGAGTGCCGTGCTTCCCGGTTCTTACTTCCACCCCTTTTATTGTTTTTGTATGCTCTCTTGTTCCCATAGGACTTTAAGTGTGCCTGCCGCTGACAGTCTGTTCCATTTTACTTGGCTTCTTCTAACATGCTATCAATGCAGCAAAACTCACCATATTAGGAGTGTTTGTAATGGAAGAGTAACAATGCTGTGTGTTAGGGCCAGGTGACCGCTGAACTGAATCAGGTCCGTGACCTTTAGTGTGTGGACAGCCTGGTGACATGTCTTTCAGATGATTATATCTTGATTCTTGGCTATGTCCAGAGACAAAGACTTGGAGCATTGTCAGGTATGAAAGAGGTGTGGATGTGAATAGCACAAATGAACAAATAAAATATATTCTAGAATGGCCAGTTGGACATCAAGCATTCTATGACATCCCTTTGTCAATAGTTTCTTTTTCAAATAAATTTCGCAGTTTTTCAAAGCATTGATATATTTTTACATTTTATTTTTGGGGGCAGGATGAGTCTGTTCATTGCATACTTTCATTCATTGTCCATTATGCTGACGATGCCCACAAATGATGATAGAAATCTTGTTCTCAAGGAAATTGTGCTCTTTTGGGGAGATATACAACATAAATGCATAATTATGAAAAATTCAGACAATAGTATAATGAGACAGATCAGTCACTATGAAAGAATAGAAGGTGAAAGCAGAAAAAGGCTACTTAGACCTTGACATTCCTATAAAATGTGGTTGATAATACCCAACTAACAGCATATTTTCTGAGGACTTATTGAGATAGTAATAGAATTTATTTATGCCAAAAAAGTGAATAATATAAATGGTATGGAGGAAAATGTTGACTAAAACAAAGCATGTGCACTTTGCTATTTGAGAGATAGGAATTCCAATCTTGATTTCATCACTCGTTAACTGAAATTTGCTTAGCCTCACCTTTCTTTTCTGGCAGCTGGGGCTAATTCCTGACTTGTAGTATTACTGGGAAAATAAAATAAGTGGTGTGTCACACACACTGCCTGGAAAAGTAAGCAGTCTACAAGTGTCAGCATGTATCTTCTTTTCTTCTTCATGGATAAGTGTGTTGGGTTTTGCAGGATGAGTAGGAGTTCATAAACCAAATCATAAATTCCCAGCAGGGAAAGTGGCTTTTCAGTAAAGCCAGACGAAGAGATTTTGAAGTTAATTTGCAAAGCTGCTGCTCCCTTCCTAGCAGAGTAAACAGTGATTTTTCCCCCCTTATCTTTAATATTACTACTTCACTGACCTTCACTGATGGGTTTGTTGATCTGTGTCATCACATTACAGAAGCATATTTGTGCTGTTATTTCTATTGGACAGTGATATCACACTTCTCATGTTATAAAGAGCAGAGAAGAAGATGTTAGAAACCTGTAACAGTGAACAAACTAATAGAACTTTTGTAAATGTAAGAAGAGAAACAAGATATTTCTTCCACAGCCATGTGCCTGGGGTCTGCACTTAAAACTATTAAGAAGCATGGAGTGTCCTAATTTAGGATAGGTCTACCCATTCAATAGGCATTTTGTTGAGCACCTCCCACTTGGAGAATACTGGAATAAGAGAGGCAGAGAAACATGAGAGGTCTGACTTTGATACCAACAGAATGAAATAAGAGATGTAAATGAGAAAAAAATGTTAAAGGGTGTCACAGGCAATTTACCAGGCCTTTTGAAGGACAGGTGGAATTATGGTTGGTTGAGTAGAGGAGCCCAGACGTTCTCTATGGGGAGAACAGCTTAAGCAAAGGGCTGAGTCTCAAAAGCATGTCGCTAGGAAGAAAAGATGGATCTGTTACATAAATCACCAAGTCCATTAAAAACAAACCCAGCAAACACACACACACACACACAAATCACTCAGAAGTAGAGCCAGAACCAACATAATCTTTCCTTGGTGCCCTCATAAAAAAAAAAGTCATGGTTTCCTTCTGTTTTTATTTCCTTCCCTGCTGTAACTTAGGTCTTTCAAAGGCACCTATTCTATTACAGCAGTCACTGCCAAGGTTATGCTGTTCTCTCTGCCACACTCACTGCCTTATGACACACTTTAGCATCCTCATGAAGGGACCACCTCTGCCTGCGGGTTTCAGGTCTTTCAGAGGGACAGCCAGAAAATACAGGGGATGTAATGGCTACAGAAGCCAGTGAGGGAAGGGAGCTGGAAAATAAATGCACCTGCTTTATGCACCAAGTGTGCAGTACCCTGAAGTGTGTGCACACTGGCCCCAAGATCACCCCATTGAGATCAAACCCCACATACCTACCGTGATCATCTGCTTATTAACACCCCCTTGATTAGCTTCTTTCCTTTCTCTGTATGAATTCCTCACTCCCTTTCCTGTTACCACCTTCCAAATCAACTCATTGCACTTATTGCTTATCTAATGAGGACTGGGTAAACTGAGACAGCTTAAGCCTACAGATGGTATCCGGGTAGCGGAGCTGACGAACTGACAAGGACAACGTTGGGGATGGTTTGAGCCAAGATAGCAGAATCTAAGCTGATGCTAGGAAATGCTTCAAGGGATATTTATGTTGGTCTTTAACTTTTTTTTCAAGTTAGATCTTTTTAATTTTCATTTTTTAAAAATTATTTTGAGAGATGATGATGATGATAATGATGTTGATGTTGATGTTCCATCTGCTGGTTCACTCCCCAAATGCCTCCAATGGCAGAGGCTGAGCCAGGCTGAAGCTGTGAGTCAGGAACTCAATCCAGGTCTCCCACATGAGTGGCAAGAGCCACATTACATGAGTTGTCACTGCTGCCTCCCAAGGTCTGCTGTAGCAGGCAACTGGAGTCAAGAGTTGGAGCCAAGACTTGAATCCAGGCCATCCAATGTGAGACATGGGTTCCTTTCCTGGTAAGCTCAAAGGTCATCCCTATTTAGCTGTATATTAAAGAGGACTGAGTCCATTGCTATGCAGTGCTTGAAAAGGGGCCTGACACATAAATATCAAGCATGGCTGTTGCTCTCATAGAAACCAGCTCCAGATACCCTTAGTCTTACAAATTTTAGTTCTCAAAGGACTTTCTCATGTTGTTTTACAATTGGTTCTTCCTCTTGTTTCTCCTATGACAGTATGCTCTAGAACAGGGTAAGACCCCAGACCATGAGTGACAAGAAGAAGGGGGGCCTGAGGGCTCATTGGTCGTGCTTCTATCTTGTGACAGTCATTCTAGCAGCCAGCCTCTCACCAGAAACCAGTCTCTTTGTCCTCAGAGCCTTTGTTGAACAGGGAACTCACTTTGTGTGACAAGCTGTGGTGGCCTCATTGATGGTATCTTCTTACAGTCATTGGCCTCCTGCACTGTGTCAGCGTTCCCTCTCCAGTTACCTTTGATCACTTCCAGATTTCTGCACTTCCCACACTCCTGGTTTCTCATTCAGGAGGTCTGTATTTGGAACTGGTAATTCATGCTGTTTTCTACGCTGCCCAAGTGATTCAGCCAGGTTCAAGAACCACATTGCTACTTGGCTTTGGTACCCAGGGTCCATACCATAGAGCATTGTGGTGTTGTAACAGAAAGCGTGAACTTTTTAACTCTTTCCAGACTCTGAGGCTGACTCTCATACTGCAAGTGCTATTGCAGCTCCTTCTAGGCAGTTTCTGTCTCTACACTTTCATAGAAATGAAACACCACATATTGCTCTCGAAGTTGAGATCAGTGACATTCTGGAAATACCAGGGTGTCCTTCTTCAGACTAAGTCTTGATTTGTTTAAGAAGGAGCTAACATTTTAAGGAAGGCATTGGTGAAACATTCTCTTTTATAAACAGACGCGTGGCTGAGGAAGAAGACTGAGTTTCCTTTGCGTGAATGCCCATGGCATTCTGAACTGTTCTCAACAGGACTGCAGGAAGAAGTGATCAAGATAGAGTCCTATCTTATGTTTATGAGGGGAGACACTGAACACAGAAACCAGCTCCAAATCCCCTTAGTCTTACAAATTTTAGTTCTCAAAGGACTTTCCCATGAGCTGTCTCATCTAACCATCACAGCTGCCTGGTGAAATAACTAGAGACAAAGCATGTCTCTTGGTAGCCCTCAAGCCACAGGTGGGAAAATGTGAATTAACAGAAGAAGCATCTTAATAAAATTGTAGAGAATGTTATCAGCCAAGTGGATTGCCCCATATCACAAGAATCCAGAAACATCTCTGACGTAATGCCTCCTCTGTTGGCAAAAGAAAAGTTTTTTTTTTTTTTTTTTGAAAGGGAAGGAGAGAGAGAAATCTTCCATCCACTGGTTCACTCCCCAAATGCCCACAATGACCAGGGCTAGGCTGTGTAAAGCCAGGAGCCTGGAGCTCATTCTAGGGCTTCCGTGTGGGTAGCAGGGACAGGCACATCATCATGGAATCCAAAGCAGAGACAGGACTGGATGCCAGGCACTCTGACGTGGGAGCACACTCAGTCACTGCACCAAAGAGAGAAGTTCTAGTTTCAGGACACAGTGTTGTGGTGCAACATGGTCAGCCACTTCCTGGGACTCCTGCATCCCATACCAGAGTGCTGGTTTGGTTTCCAGAAGCTCTGGTTCCATTCCAGCTACTTCAAACTACACCCTGGGAGGGAGGCAGGCAGCAGATAGATGATGGCTCAGATACTTGATTCTCTGCCACCCACATGGGAAACCCAGTTGGAGTTCTGGGTTCCTGGCTTTGGCCTGGTCATGCCTGAGTATTGTTTCGAGTATTTGCGGAGTGAACCACAGGGTGGAACATTTCTCTCTGTCTCTGTTTCTCTCTCTCTCTCTCTGGCACTCTAACTCTGCCTTTCAAGTGGATGAAAATAAATACACATTTTAAAAAAAATAACTAAATATTTTTTAAAAACATTTTAGAAAGAGAATTTTTGCAAAGATTTTTATAAACCCTCAAATTAAAATATTTCTCCAAATCCCTTTTGACCCAATCCATTCCCCTGCTACATGGCATTTTCTGTGTCTGTTAGGTTGGAACTGGGGGTGGTCATGGGAGCAGAGGGGGAAAATGCCTTCAGACAGATTCCTAATCACGTCGGTCATGACTAGACTCCTTGGAACTCCATGAAAACACACAAATGTTACCAATTCTGTATTTTGTGAACTACCTGGAGGAGAAAGTCTTTCATCCTCTTTCCCACCTACGCCTTATTTTATTAAGAGCTGTAATTTGGTCCAGGTTCTGGAGGCATGTTTGTTTAACAGAGATTTTTAACTCAATTTGTTGAGAGGGAAAGAAAAACCAGACAGCCTTTTTGCAAGTGTTTGATTCTCAATTCTGCTTTGCCTGAAGCACTAGCAGGAAGAAAGCCTGCATTTTACTCATGTCATTATAATTATCATCAAGCTCTTCTTCATGTATTTATATAACTCAGGGCTGTCATTCCCATTTTACAGATGAAGAAACTGAAGTTTAGCAAGGCTAAGAGGCTTGGATGAATCTGGAAGACATTATGTGACAACTTCCCAAATGATCTCACTCATTGATGGCATTTAAGAACAAAAAGTTGATTGCATGGAAATAGAGAATAGAATGGCAGCTACCAGATGATGGGATGGGATGGGGGCAGTGAGGATTGTGGAAGTGTTAGTCAAAGGACATATTAATTAGATAGAAGGAATAAGTTCAAGAGAGCTATTGTATACCCAGTGACTATAGTTACAAAAGATAGACTGTATCCTTGAAAACTGCAAGAGAAGTGACCACAAGCATGACAACCACAAACATGACAACTATGTAAGGTAAAGAATTTGTTAAACAGCTTGATGTAACCATTCCACAATGTATATAATCTTCAAAACATCATGTTGTTCATTATAAAAACATGCATTTTATCTGTCACTTTAAAAAGCCGGAGGAAGGCTAGGAGAGACCCATCAGTAAACACAATTGGCAATGACACCTTCCCTTCATGGGAAAATGATCAGTGAAAAGTCATGTAGCCCTTGATCTAATTTTCTATTCATTTCTCAGTATACTGAGCCAGATTATTGAAAATGGTCCTCATGTTTTCCTTCTCTCACTCTTATTACAGTACTAACAAGTTTCATGTAAAAACCAGACCTTAGGGATTCTTTCTGATATAGAGTCTTAATCCTCAATCATAATAACAGCTATTCATTTCTGGTTCCACACTAGGCTTTAAGAACCATGCGACAGGAGCAGCCAAACTCTTAAGCCATCAATTTTCTGAGCAAGCTCACCCTGTTATCAATATGATAGGAGGGCCACAAAGCCATGGACCTTTGCTACTTCTGATTAGAATTACGAATGTGAGCCTGAGAAAACTCACTCCTTTTCTCTTCTTTAATATTTTGGCAAAGATTTATTTAGTACCTACTATGTGCAAAGTAATATTATGTGCTATGTAAGACTACAGGACATCCAGTGGTTTATGATAGAATTGCTTTTTTAAAAAAATTATTTATTTGAAAGGCAGAGTTTTACACACACACACACACACACACACACACACTTTCTCTCCATTGGTTCATTCCCCAGGTGGCTGCTATGCCAGAACTAGGCCAATGTAAATCCAGGAGCTTGAAACAACATCAGGGTCTTTCATGTGGGAATAGGGGTCCAAGTACTTGGGCCATCTTTTGCCGCTTTCCCAGGGAGCTGGATCAGAAGTGGAGCACCAGGGACTCAAATTTGGGCACATGTGGGGTGCTGGTGTCACAGGCTGTGGCTAACGCTGACATGCCACACCAGTGACCCTGATGGGATCACTTTTAATGCGTCTATCAGAGCATTACTTTTAACTGCCAGGTATTAAGCACCCAAAATGTAGCAGAGCCTTTCATTTCTTGTGAGTTTGAGCTCAAATTACAGAAACAAATGCAATGTCCAGCTGCACATTGTTTGTTTTATAGGCAGAGAAAGAGGCAGAGACACAAAAAAAGACACATACAGCTCCTGTCTTCTGGTTCACTCCCCCAGATGCCCCACAATGATAGGGCCAGGTGGAAGCTGGAAGCAGAGAACTCACTCCGTATCTCCCACATGGGTAGCAGGAACCCAAATACAGAAGCTGTGACCTGCTGCCTCCAACATTAACAGAATAATCTTCAAAACATCATGCTGTACATCATAAACATGTAGATTTTATCCAGAGCTTTAAGTTGAGAATCAGAAGCAGATCCGTGGCTTGAACACAGGCACTTCCATGTCAGGTGCAAGGCTTGCAAGCAGCATCTGCACTGCTAGGATAAACACCCTGCCACGAGCTGCCCGCATGTAACTCCCTATAGCAGAACAGTAATTGTAATCACCAGAAATTGTTTGAACTGCATCATAGCTTTTGATTTCCACAAGTGTAAGCTCTAACAGCAGCCAGAGATACATTGTCCAGCCGTGTATCTTGTATATGCTCAGCTTGCACACATTAGCAAGGCTTTATAACGCGGAGAGCACAACAAGGCTTTGGAATCTGACATTCCAGGTTCAAGGCCTCATTCTAATACTATCTCTGCAGACTTGGGCAGTTTACTTAGCTGTACTAACCTTCAGCCTCCTCTTTTGTCAAATGATAATAACAACGGATTCTAGTTCATAGTGTTGGGTGATAATCGAATGAGATAATGCATGAACAGTGCTTGGGCTAATACCCAGAAATAAAGATTGGTATCACTCTTAGTATCAGAAAGGTCGATGGCAGGAAATCACAGTTGCCTCATGGTTTCATTAGATTGGTGATACTCCACAGTTTGCTAATGTTTTCAAATGCACTTTTGTTGAGAAATATGGGGAAAAGGATAGAAAATTCTGCAGTGTGCAGATTGAAATAGAGAAGGGATAGGGAGACTTGACTTCCTTGGGTTCCCCTGCACTGTCTTCCCATCTCCATTGTGTGCCATGAAGCATTCCCTTGGAATTTTCAGTGTTGACATTAAAACTGTGGTATTAAATGTTATGTTCAATATTTTATTATAAGCTGAGATGATTTGCTCACTGGATTTGGCTACCTGTATCCCAGTACTGGCAAATATTTCATGGTCTTATTTTACATTCTGAAAATTGTGTGGCCAAGCTCACATGTTGACATGCTGGTCTTTATAATTAAGAAGTATATCATAATAATTCAGGACTATTTATTTAATCGTTCAGCAAATATGTATTGAACATTGTTTGTATCTCAGGCCCTGAAACATTCCTGGCTTGTGCAATACTCAGAAAAATTCTAAGTTCCTTTTGGCGATAGCTGTTTTCATCTCTCCCCATTGTATCCACATTGTATCAATAGAATTGAGTGTGTGCCTGGCTTATAACACATTCCTCATAAACAATTACAGATTTGGGATTTTAGGCTAATGAAGGATGGCCAGTTAACTTCAGAATATTAATAGAGTTCTTGTGAATTTGAAAAGTGTTCTTCCCTGTTGAAAACAGGAGTTGCCAAGTAGGCTTTAGCTGTGATATATAATACTTATATCCTGTTCTCTCCAGAGTCAGGCTTTTTAGGATGTTGATGAAATTCCTAAAGGCACTGAGCCTTTTCACTGGTTTGAAATATTTAATTAGGAAAAGAATGAAAGCAGAGAGGTAATCAGCGCTTTAAAGATCTGGAATTGTTGCCAGAGGTCCAGGGCTGGTGGTGGACAATCGTGATTCCATGATTTGGCTATCCTGAGTATCAGAGAGAGGCAGCTCTCTGCAGACCTGCTCCGAAGGCTGCGAGGGGTGGTGGGTATACTTTGAATACTAAGACATGCAGATACTCAAAGCCATTTTCAGCATTTACTTATTTGCCTTATGCCATGTGCCTCAGTGTCATTTCTATACTCCCCAAAATTCAAGTGGAGGAGGCATGAGATTTCTTTGCTTTCACAAATTGTGGCAAACTCTTCCTTCTAGAAGAAAAATGAAAGAATATGTTCATCGTCTCCATCAAGCAAACCACCTGCCAGGGAGTGTCACTATCTTCATTATATATGCCGCATATTGAAAGCTCACTATGCATGTAACACTGGGTATGCATTTGTTTGCAAGAACCTAGTTTTGTAGATGGGGCCTGTGACGTATCAGTGAGAGATAGAACAGGAAATTGAGTCCCCCTGTTTGGATTAGTCAGGTTCCAGGTATGAAATAGCTGACCCATGGAGTGAGTGAAAGGAGTTTTGAAAAGGGATGAATTGTTGGCCGGTGCTGCAGCTCACTAGGCTAATCCTCCGCCTACAGTGCTGGCACCCCAGGTTCTAGTCCTGGTTGGGGTGGCGGATCCTGTCCCGGTTGCTCCTCTTCCAGTCCAGCTCTCTGCTGTGTCCCAGGAAGGCAGTGGAGGATGACCCAAGTGCTTGGGCCCTGCACCCGCATGGGAGACCAGGGAGACCAGGAGGAAGCACCTCGCTCCTGGCTTCGGATCGGCGCAGTGCGCTGGCCTTAGCAGCCACTTGGGGGGTGAACCAATGGAAAAAGGAAGACCTTTCTCTCTGTCTCTCTCTTTCACTGTCTAACTCTGCCTGTCAAAAAAATAAAAATAAAAATAAAAGGATGACTTTCAAAGGGGTGTGTGGAATTTAAATAAAGCAAAAAAAGAGGTATGGCATGGCCAGTATTTGGGAGTAGTAACTGATGGGAGGTATGATCCCTCCCCACCTGTTGGGTCAGGGTGAGAGCAGAGGAGCCCCAGAGACAGAGATGAAGGAGGGACAGAAAGGCTACATGGTCTAGAGAAGGCTGCTTCATACCCTCTATGACTTCACCAGGGGAACAAAGCTGCCCTGGGACCCATCAGGACAGATCAAGGGAACAAGCACCCTGCCTTCAGTCTCCTCCCACCTTCCTCTGGAATAGAAGCATCTTCCACTGGAATGCCTTGGAGAATGGGTGCTTGCTGATGTGTTGTGTTAGGTCAGCCTCATAAGACTGGAGTGGGTGCAACAGCAATTCTAGAGGGACAGAGGGAAGCTGGCCACCACGGTGTCTGCAGAAGGGGATCAGGCTTTGTCCAGTGCATTCTGCCCACCAGGAGGTTCTGTGCGTTCATCTGTCAGTAAGGCGTCACTGCTGAGCTGCTCTGTGCCAGGCCAGGCACTTTACTGTGGTCTGTGGGCTCACAGTTAAGTTGCTTAGAGAGCTTCCAAACGTGTCTTGAACACTTCTAACTTGCCATTTAAAATGCCATTAGTTCTCTTTCTACTGTCCTAGGCATGACTGCATTTCCACCCAAATATCCTAACTTTTCTCAGTCTTGATCCGCTGTGTTTCTGAGCTATTCGTGTTTCCCTAGATTTTGCTGCTGCTTTCAGCTCCACATACAGATCCCATAACCACCCTTGAACTCCACTGAGGAAAGCTAATGATCTAACATAATGCTCAAATGACACTGATTTTTTTTTTATCTCATTAGGCATTTGAAAAGGAAAACAGTTGGAGAAAAACACCCTTTCTTTCCTACAAGGGGAATGAAAGACAGCAGACTTAAGAAGCTCTGCATTGACTGTCCTGCTCACATCAGAGTGAGCCCGTTTTACCCCTGCTAGTACCTATACTCGGACAGAGAAGGAAGGGCCCAAATGGAGGTCATTCTTTGGAGTGCATTGAAAGCAAGTGCTCTCATTGCTGTGGCTTCAAAGAGTTGAAATTGTCCTAGGAGCAGAATGGAGGAATCTTCACTAACTCCATCAGTCATTATTAGTCTGGCCAGAGTCGTCTTGTCTTTGATTACACCCCTTCCACCAGTGGAGAGATCTTCACGGCTCTGGAATTCTCCTCTCGGGCTCTGCTAAATGCTTAGAAAGTGAGGCGTCCCACTGCCAAGCCCAGGAGCACGTGGGCCTGAAAGGACCCCTTTTGAGAGGCCAGATGTTTAGAAATAGAAGCTCTAAAGAAAAGAACAGTTGCCTGGACTAGGAGGGATGGCCTCCAAAGGGGAGACAAGCTTTTCTGTTCTGAAAAAGACTAAATTATTTTGAACTGATCTGAAGGCCAGGCTCAATTGAAAGATTAGAGTTGAAATGTGACCATATTGAAATTAGCATTGCTAATAAGGGTTTCATCAAATCACAGATTATTTTGAATCTACCTAACCTTCTCTATAAATGTTCAACTTAGAAAACACTGGAGCTCTATTTTTAGTATTCTAATAATGGGTAAGTGTTATTTTTAAGACAGTAGCAACAATGCTAACAGCATGTTCAAACAAGAACCATCAAAACAATGGCATATTGCCTAATTTTTTGTCAGTTCGAATTCCATGATAGAGTATGGTAGCCAACTGTGTGAATTGTTGGCTAAATTTGAAAAGAAGGACAGTCTAAGTGGTTAACTTACACAACTCCTTGTCCTCTAATGATAACTATGTGGGGAACTATCTGAATATCACCTACTCTGTGTGGGCCTAGGGGGGCTGAACCCTGTGAACCCAGACTTTTATAAAACACCTGATCAGCACAGTTTACATAAGGAGCTCACTACCATCTTTGACATGACTTCCACTTAACTCAAGATAATACTGACATCGGCAATGCTTTGAGAATGTTCCCTGAAATATCAGGGAGTCTTCACCCATATGAATGACATCAACTGCCATTGGTCATTGGTTCTGTATTTCCGGCTTAACTTGTTCTCATAATGATTCATTGATTTCATCATTCATTTGTTTATCTTCCAAATATCTATTGAGCACCTATTTTGTGGCAGGTACTTTTCTTAACATGGAACTTGGGTGCTGAACAAAACAAGCAAGTTTCTTGCTTCTATGCAAATGATCTTTTAGCAAAAGGAAGATAATTAAATAAACAATAAGTAAGCAAGGACATATTAGGAAATAAGTGTAAAAAATAGAAATCATAGCAAATACAACAACAAAAGTACAGAATAATGTGAGAGGAACAGAATGGAGAAAGAGAAAAAATTTTTTTGATTCAGTGATCAGTGGAGTGGACTCTGTAGACAGAAAACAAGTCTCATAAATGAATGTTAAAGGAAGAGACAACAGGAAAAGATCAGAGGAGAGAAAGTTGCAGGCAGAAGAAGTGGCAAGTGCAAAGGCAAAGAAAGCTGTCATGGCTTAGAGTGGGGAAGAAGAGGGCTGGAAGTAGAAGAAATCCTGAGGGGAGATGGGAGAGCAGTTGGGGAAAGCTGCGAAGGCACTGTAAAGGGTTAGGTTTTACTTTAAACCTACTGGACAATCATTGAAATGATTTCCTCAGATGAGAATATCATCTCACATTCTTTAAAAGTCTCACCATGGATAACATACAAAGTGATTTATTGGGGTAATTGTGAAAGTAGCGAGACCTTTTGGAAGTCTGCTGTGATGAGAGGAGTTGGTGGCAGCGTGCAGCAGTGGAAACAGTGCTAACACTTTATCTGGAACAAAAAAGAAGCATGAAGTGGCAAGAGCTCCCTTAACTGGAAGATGAGACCCTACCTATTAGCATTGGAAGCTAGTCTAGTCAAAGTGGAGCAAGAAATCCCTTTGGAACTCATTCCATTGAAATCCTTCTTTACATTGAAGGAAACATGGAAACACTGAGAACATGGCAAGGTCAGGGAGCAGGTGGGTTTCCAGAAAACCCAAGACTGAGCTTCATGCCTCCTTTCTTCCCAGGTGTTAAATGGTGAGATGAGTCCATAGAGGATCTGTAGGTAGTGGGCAGGGACATTGGCAGCATGGTAGATTGTCTCTAGCCAGGGGCTCACAACTTTTATGGTGTGATCCCTCACAAAGCTATATCTGTGAGTTATTGTTGGGTCCATGTACTATCTGTGGATTAGTCATACCCCATACACTGAATAGGGGTATAAGCACCATTCTGCAATATTTCCAGCAGAGTGGCTCACAGCTTAGGTGCTGGCAATCCACCAAGTTCAAGTCTCAGCTTGACCGGTTACTGACTGTGTCCCATTGGATAACTCATTTCACTCTATTTCTTATCTGTGAACCAGAATCAAGGTAGTAAGTGCCTAGATTTGTGTGGACCAAATAAGGTAAAATACCGAAATACACTGAGAACAATCTCAGGCACAGAGTAAACATATTCAAGCAATGCTTACTTATTACATGGAAGACAGTTTTTTTCCTTTCACTTCACATGGGGCTCTTCATATTCCAGCCAGTGAGAACCGCTCCCTGGTGCCCCTAAGGACACTGAGCAGTGTGACTGCCCTTTGGTGACAGTGCTGGCAGGAGCAGTGACCATGATCCTTTGCTCAGTTCTTCCTTCACTTACGGTATCAGTGCACGCCGAGTGCTCACTTGAATGCCTGGTGGCTCGCAGCCTATTGTTCTATATCAGCTGTGTTCACTTGCTTCATTTACTCCCCCAGGTAACTCTTCTCATTGAATGCACTGACTTTTCAGCGAGCAGGTCAAGGGTGGACCTGGAGAAATTGGGAGAAAAAGGTTCTTACAGAATTACAATGTTTGGAGAATTGGAAGTACCCTGAAGGCTTCTGCATAAGGAACAAGGAGATCAAAAGCAGAGGCAGAGAAGGGGAGCCAGAGGTCCCTGAACCCACTGTGCAGGACTGCAGTACAACTTGGCAAGCCTTGCAGTGGCTGTTTTTCTTTTCTTGCCCATGCCTCCCCACCAGCAGCTCTCTGAGATGTTAGTATGCCCATTTTAAAGGAGGCAAACTGAGACTCAGACACCTTCAGGGTTTTCCTAAATCACTTGACATAGAAGTGGTGGATCAGGACTATAACCCAGGCTGCTTCATCATGCTTCGTTGGTTGGTCATGGCACCTGTGGCAGGCTTGGGATGCCAGCCTGGGGAGTGTGTGGCACCTGTGGCAGGCTTTCGGTGCTTTGGTGCCCTGAAAACCTGCTTCAGGATGCCGTGAATTGAGCCCCTGGGAGTTGCTGGGCTCAGTGTTTGGAGAACAAGCAGACTTAGGTCTGATTTCAGCCTCTGAAAGCTTTTTAATTTTGTGATCTTGCAGAAGGCCTTCAGAAACTGTGCTGTGATGAACCAAGTTGTCCCTTTCACAAAGGCAATGTTCCTAAAAAGCCATTCTTCCAGTCTCATCACCTTAATGATTATTTATGGGCAGGCTATGAATTTCCTCATTGGGGATCAGACATAATATCTGCATTTCCATAAAAACGAGGGCATTTAAAAAAAACAAACATATCAACATTCACCTAATCTATGCAAATCTATTCATAAGGATTGTATAAAACTACTGTTTCTCTCTGCACCCTCAAACACAAATTCTGGCTTTTTTTTTCTCTCTCCCAGTATGTTTTTGAGCTCTGTGGTTGAGGGAGGAGGGGGCTCACAGAGTCGGGGGAAGATGAGCCTCTGCTCACAATGCAGGCTGCTTGTGCACAGCGGCCCTGCACTTGCAGTTGTGAGCAGAGAGCCAAGTGTGGGAGCTCACCATGGTGGTAACCACCTCCCCACAAAGCAGGCAGCGTCTCACCAGAGGGAAGTATCAGGTTCCTGTACTCGGCTGTGGGCTGTCACTGTCTACTAATATGACCGTTTTGCCATCTCCCTGCAAATAAGACAGAAGCTGCTACCTGATTGGTATAGCAAGCATCTCACTTTCCCTCCGCATTGATTTTCTTGTTCTCCTCCTTTGCTTCACAGAAAGAGGGACAAGTGGCTGCTACTGTGGACACAGAGGCTTTATTTTTAGTATGAGACAATCTCTATTTTCTTTCAGGAGAGGGAAGTTGGATTATCAATTCTTTTGTAAATGTGTATGGTGATATTTGCTCCGGTAAGTTTTTATCTATCTTGATTTATAGCTGCTCTGTGTATGTGTGTGTGTGTGCGTATGCATGTGTGTATCTGCCTAGGTACATTTCAGCTGTATACTTTTCTTATGAAATAATGCTTTGGGAATCTTTTAGGATAATATGTCTTTTAAAAATCTTTTTTTTTTTGCTTTCTCATATTTCATGTATTTAAAAACAAGAGGCTGTGTTGGGTGATAATGCGATGCTTACCTTAAGTGGTGAAGTGTATACTGGGTTTCTTTTAATATAGTAAGGCAACTGTCTAAGCAAACTTAGATTTGCTTTGTAAAAATGTAATATCATTCTACCCTACCCTCCCTTAGGAGTGTTTAATGTCCTGGGTGCATTCGTTATGCTACAACCTGCTTACTATTTTAATTAAACTTTTTTTGGTCAGTGCCAGAGTGAGAATATCTTAAACTCCATAAATAGCTACCAAATATCCTATTCTGTGCCAGAAGACATGTGCTAATTTTGTAGGATCTTGTACCAAGGTGGAACGCATGGGATGAGTTTCTCCTATGATTGGGGAACACACGCTTTTCAAAGAACTGGATTTACAAGAAGTATTTGGACCATTTAAGTAAATCTCTAGCATTTCGTGAAAAAGATAGACTCCCAAGTGGCTGTTGCTGCTCTTCTGTCTTTGCTCTGTGTATTTATGCCACCATCTGTCAAATGCCCAGCCCCACTCTTGTGTTTCTATAGCTGAAGCTAATCAGGAGAAAAAATGATGTGTTAAATTCAGACTAATGTAAAATGAATATCTGGTCACCATTGCTAGTAATGATTTTTAATTGCATTACCTGGTTAACTGCTTCCTTTTTTTTCCCCCAGCAAGTAAAAGATGGTCTGAATTCTGTGTTGTTAATGAAGAAGTCTGGGAGAAAGTCTATTAATATAATTATCCCAGGCAGAGATGATAAGATGATTAACTAATTGCTCTAATGGAAACAATCTGACACTTTAATCTTCTCTTTTTGTTATACAATCAACAAATCTGCATAGTCTTTTCCATGCAGAAATGAACCAGAGAACATATTTATAGTGAAAGTTAAAGGCACAGGGGAATGTGAAGAAGAGGAAGTCTATATATTTTTCAGAGATTTTTGAAAGTAAAATTGGGACTGTCACACATGCCTGAAGCTCTTAGGTATATATTCTTTTCCAGAACAGCAATTTTCAAATTCTGAACTACTGTTAGGGGTGTTCTGGGAAACAGTAACATACATCTGGGAAAGTTCTGACGCTCATGCCCAGTGCCATTGGGCTGTCCACGACTCTGACACCCTTTGCACACTGGATGGAGCTGTTCATTCTGACAAATAGAATAAATTTTGATTCATCTAACAGTGCTCATCAATGGACAAATCCTCTAAACCTATGAGAAATTAGCATATTGCCTTCTTACTGGTCACAATTAGCGTGTTCCTAATAACAGCCCTCGATGTTTAGACAGCCAAGCTGGAGCCAAGTGTTCCTTAGCAGATAGTTTCCTGGGAAAACAAGCACAATTTTTATACTTGGGCTGTTGCTGATTACTGCTAAATGAACACACCAGCATTCAGCATTGCTTCCACCCAACACGCATATACCCAATTCAACCCCTCTTCAATTTTCTGTTAGGATTCTGCTTTCACAGCCATTGTTACAGTTTGTGTATAAAGTCATTAACAACTTTAGTTGTTTATGGAGTTATCATCATCTGAAGCTCTTCAGTAATATAACTCAGTGAGGTTTGAAGGCATGGCATCCTGCTTCCAGCTTATAGAAGATGCAGGGCTGCCAGTGTGCTCAGACTCCCAACACAGGAAGGACTACCGGACCTCTGCATCTGAGAGAGGTCAGGACCCTTAGTTTGAGTTACTGATGGTATACAGGATGTTTAATACTGTCACTTCAGACAAGTAGAGAATGACATAGCCAGAAAATCTGTTGTAATCTATGCCAGGGAGTTAAAAAATCTGTGCCATGTGGGGGACAATTAATAGAGGGCTTTTTAAAAACCTTCACAAGGCAATCATCTGTACTTTTTAGCAGACTGAAGAATATAATAGTCCTTTCCATTTGATAAGTATTTAGTGTATGCCTGGCACTAGGCTAAGCCTTCCATAGGGTTTGTTTCCTTTGACTCTCCCAATAATTCTTTGAGGGATATAACAGTACCTTCCCTTCCATTTTACAGATAAGATAATGGAGACAGGGCAAGTATGCACTCTGCTGGAGGCAGCACGGTGATGAAGATGAGAATCAGGAGGGTTCATTCCAGAGACACACTCTTCTGCCACCGCTGTCGGGTTTCACTTCATCAGAGCAATTGGAACTCCTAGGCTAGAGTGATTCACAGAGATTTATGATACCACATGGCATTTTCATTAGTACTTTTCCTCCTCCTGACACTACCTAACCACCATCTTCTCAGAATGTGCCTTTATGACTCCTAGATAATTATGTGTTTAAAACTGAAGAATGTGTGCTTTATTTCCACTCAATTTGTACAGTTACAAAAATGGGGATGTAAGGAGAGGGAGCCAGCCTTAGGAGATGTATACACGGAAGTGGCTAAATGATGGTAAATTTTATAATTGATAACAATAAAGTCATTTCAATCTTTTGAACATAAAGCCAAAATAACAATGCCACAGTGGCTTGGAAATATCAGTATCTCAAGGCATCTGATTTGTCATTAAAGCAAAATCTAAAACACCATTCTAACTGAAATGATTTATTTATGGAGAACTTAATAGAATCCTCAGCTTTTAAACTCACCACCCCCCAACAATGATATTTTTCTCTATTCTCTGGCTAGCTGGAAAGGGCGGAGGTGGCACTTCAGGTAGAATTGGCCAACCATCTGTGTCACCTGGGTAATTAAAAAAATGAACACAGCTGCCGATAAACATGTGGCAAAACATGGCAAAGTGGAGATTCAGAGTCTCCAAGTGCATTCCTTTGCACCTGAGCACTGAGCCCATTGGCGATCTGTTTGAGCCAGTAAAATTCAGATGAGTCTTAGGGGGCAAATGCACCAGACATAGAACCAGTGTGTTTGAAATGTCTCCTCAAATGGCAGCTTTCAGACTGGTGGCAGGACACTCCACTCGTGAGCTGAGACTGGGAAGCACTGCATTTTCTTCACTCCCATGAGAGAGAAATTATGAAAGAGGATGACGACTGATAAGATTGCAGCTACAAAATAGACCCTAGCTCAGGAATACCCTTGCTATTTTTTTTTCTAAAAACTATAGGGATATGAAAAAAATAGGAATAAATAAAACCCAACTTCCACAAATGGGAGAACTAGGAGTCAAGTTTTAAAGTGTTTAACAAAACACTGACTTCGTGCTATGCTTTGTTGTGTCTAATAAGCCTTTGCTTTTGAGAGAGCTCTTGCACACACAGTGGATTCAGTAGGGTTTAGAGTGCAGCACACAATAAAATGTTTGCAAAATGATATTCATTTTTGTGGGAGAAAAGCTTGATAGCTCATTGATTCTACATTTCTTCTTTTTCTTGTTGTTAAAAAATCATCATAATTGGGTGGCTTAATCAAAAAGTGTAGTGCTAGAGCCACTACTGATAAAGAAATGTAAGTCAATTTGCTTGTTCTAATAGAATTTGTGAAGGTTTTAAGAATACTAAGAGCTATCAGATGAGAACTAGCTTTAATGAAATATGTTGTGCTCAGCCTAGGACTCAACAAATAAAGGCTATACCCTAAAACTCATTCTAAGAGACAATTTTCTAAAGTCAATCATATTTTGATCTCTAGCAAGAAGATACTACTTTCTTCAGAGAGGTGACCCAATCCCAAATAAATACTAGGAGAGTTTGTACTTCATCTTACCTGTGTTTCCTTCTACCCTTTCTTTGGCTAGGGCTGTGGATGATTAAGTGCTTTAAAATGTTCTACTAAGTACGGAGAATGCAGCTGGTGTTAAGACATAGTGAGGACTGCACTGGTCTTCAATGTATCATCAAACATCCTAGACAGATGTACAGATAGAGCTGGTGATCTTGTTATAGGCATAAAAAATACAATCAATGAGTTATTTTGAGTCTGAAATCAGCATGTGAAGAACTAAGACCTCTAGAAGAGGCTCTTGGTCATCAGTGTGTCTTTAAATGTTTGAAGATTAGGTGAGTTGAAAATGGAAACACCTCAGTCTCTCAACTCTACAGACTAATGGATCTGCATAATTAATATATATTATAGAGATCATTTTTTATCACAGATTCAAGCCAAAAGTACTAATGGAAAATTGTGCAGGGGTCACTCAAAACACATTACATGACAGTTTTTGCAAAGTTTATTCCTAGTACAGGGAAGTTAGTTCCTTGTGCAGGTGTGCACTGGCCAATAGAAGTGGAGAGTCATATCATATGGTCCTTTGGGGCAATGTTTTATTGGGCATTAAATGTGTCTATTGATATCGCCATGTGGCTTTGGAAGCCTTGCTTACAGAATCTTTAAATCCTCCCAAATTTTACACATTGTTTCAGTGTAAATTTTCTGGCAAATATGAATCATACCTGAGGCTTAGTTTTACCCCTGGTAAGATAAGGGTTTAAGAACATTTGTATCCAATATGAACTGTTACTGCAAGGACATTTTATATCACCATATTGATATCCATTTCTCACTGATAAACACACATATCTTTATATGGCTTTGTATCAATATCAGGAAGTAAAGTGGACATAGTTTTTCAGAACCCATGGCAATCAAACTACCTTCCTATGAAATTGAATGGTTGAAGCAAATACATATGTACCAGGTGTGTATGTGTGTCTATGTGTGTATAGGGCAGATTTAAGGGAAGGGGTGGAATGTTGATTTCAACAGGCTGTCCTTTCATTTAAAAGTATTCAGGAATGCTCACTAAGCACCAGGAACCATGGGAGATAGAGTGATGAACAAATACATATAATATATGCACATTCGGAATTAAATATCTTCATCTTCCATTTTCTCACCTAAGCCTAGTTTGTATTTCATGTCCCAGAATGTATGTTCTTAAAAGCACAATTGAACTGCTCCACTAAGACATCCGCAGGAAATATGTGCTTTTGGTCCTGTCTGTTCCTGCTCAGTGAAGGAACAAGAGAGAATCCACTTATTTACTGATGTGATTACTGTCTGCTGCAATGGAGTGGTTTGAAGGCAGGGGATGGAAAAGATTTTACAGTGCTTATTTTATAAGCATTATTTAACACTCAGAGGTATTCTCAGATGTGATAGGTTACTCTCATTCTTGCCTTGCATTGGGAGAGAAAAGAAAGGAAAAAAGCTTTGTCAGGACAGATAAGTAAAGAAGATAGAAAAGTAAACCAAGAAGGTACCTAGAGAAGGCAGTATTTTCCCTGACTATCTGAGTTCATCTAAGTTGTGTTATTTGATTTTCAGTGAGTGTTCATTTAGTCATCCACTTATTCAACAAATAGGTTTATGTATCGGATTCCTCTTTCATGACAAGTAACCTAGATGCTAGGGGAAGAGAATAAAGACGATATTCTAGTTTCTGAGTCCATAAAGTTCTAATAGATCTGAAAATCTCAAAATTGGCACCATTAAAATTTTGACCCAGTTAATATATTGTGTGAGGGGTTATTTTATTATAGGTTGTTTGTCATCATCCTTAACCTCTCCCCACTAGATGTCAGTAGCAGCCTCTCTCCCCCATGTTGCGACAACCAGAGTTACCTCCAAACGTTGCCCTCTAGATGCAAATCACTACAGATCCCCCCCCCATATTTCCAGTACTTCTATCTCCCTTCCTTTCATATACTCTGCTGTATGGTTTATCCTAGGGATTTTATCCTACAGACTTGGCTTCTCTACTGAACACACAAAAGTATTTGCTGCGTAGTTTTGCGTTGTCTACTTACATTCTTGGAGTTCCCGCAACAGTTCCAGGACTGTAGAGTGACACACAGTGAAGCCATAGAGATGTGTTCAGCACAGTGTACACCGCACAGGCTTTTGAAGTCACATGAATTTGCCATATGAGTCAGCACCTGGCAGGAAGAGATGATGGATGACCCTCTCAAATTATCTGACCTCTGGTGGCTGTAAGACATTAAAGCTTTTTTTTTTTTTTAATTTGACAGTAGAGTTATAGACAGTGAGAGAGTGAGAGAGAAAGGTCTTCCTTCCATTTGTTCACTCCCCAAATAGCTGCTATGGCCGGCGCTGTGCCAATCCAAAGCCAGGAGCCAGGTGCTTCTTCCTGGTCTCCCATGCGAGTGCAGGGACCCAAGAACTTGAGCCATCCTCCACTGCCTTCCCGGGTCACAGCAGAGAACTGGACTGGAAGAGGCGCAGCTGGGACTAGAACCAGCGCCCATATGGGATGCCGGCTCCACAGGTGGAGGATTAACCAAGTGAGCCATAGCACTGGCCCCAAAGCTTAATTTCTTGAAGCCAGAAAACTTAAGCCCTAAGGGGTGAGTTCACTGGCCCAGACCTCATGTTGCATGCAGTACACATGGAAGATAACAGCAGCCCTCAGTGTCCTTCCAGCTCAGGGAGCTGAAGAACCATTGCAGAAGGATGAAGGCCAACGAATGAGTCAGGAACATACCAGAAGTGTATTTGGATTGTAAGTAGAGGTCTAGGACCCTGAAATAGGTCCCTGTTTCTTAATCAGGTGCAACTAAACATCTCTGGTGATTACACACATTTCAGTCTTATTAAAGACTACAGTAATAGAAGAGCAGTAGACATAGGAATTGCATTAAAGGCAGGTGGGGATTTGCAATGGCACTCATCATACCTGCTCCTGAGCATCAACAGATGTGCAGCCTTCCCAGGAGAGGGAACTCACTGTATGTGGGCCTATATCCTTGATCTTCTGATGACCTATTCAAAACTGTTTGTAACTATTAAAACCCTTGGCACATCTGCCAAGATAAAGACCTTGCAACCATTTTGTTCTGGCAGAATTCTCAGCATGAAGACTGCCTTCTGCCTGTATTGCCTTGGAACCCTGAGCTTGTAGTGAGGAAATGCTTCCAAATCCTGCTGTACAACTTAGGAATATGCATAGCCTTGGACATTTCATCTACCCTCTTTGGGCTTCAGTCTCTTCATCTGTAAAATGAAAACAATGAGCCCTCTCCCCACAGTTTTGGAGAAGATCACTGTTACAGGGGATACGTGGAGGAAGGCTCTTTGGAGACCAAGCCGACCTAGACAATGGCCTTGTTATTTTCTTCCCTTTGTAGATGAAGTCCATTTTGCTATCAGTTTTCATCCCATGCCTCAGTGAGTGCCTGAGGTTATAGGAAATGGCTTCTCTAGTCCACCAGGGAGAGGACTGCCATTATAGAGTGGGTTTAAAGTAGTCTAGAAATGTTTTAATGAGTCATTCCCTTTTAAGGGAAGATTTTTTTCCCCTCATATTATCCTTTGCAGAGAGAGTATCATCCCTGAAGAATAACTGTAATAAAACCAAATGTAAAGTGGATAAAGCCATTCCCTATGATTAACTTATTTGGAGGACTACCCCTGAGTTATCCTTTCTACTTCCTTGGAATCCTTTCACTCTCATCCATCTTGGCAGTTCCCATTGGTTGTGTAGTCAGGGCTGGGGACTTCCATGTCCTGCAGCCTTGCACATTTCGTGCTAAGCCTGTGTGAACTTGAACCCCTGCTCCCTCCACCTGCTCCCGGCAGCTCCTCGGAGGAATTGACAATCGGTGATTGGCTCCTCCCCAAGGACCACAGCTCAGGGAAAGCCTCTTGTTGCTTTTTCTGGCTTCCTCATTAAACCCTGCTGCAGGAAATTCAAAGACACCTCATTTTTCCTGTTTATTTTACCTCGAAGCCCCTCCTGACACATTGGGTCAGGAAATTGTTAGCTCGAACTTTTTTTTTTAAGACTGTGTCTGCTGAAAATCCCCTGCCGAGGCTCCTTCTCAGCTCACCTCCTGTCTTCTGAGATATTGAAAAGACATCTCCCTCCAGACCCCCGATAGAATTATTTCCCTTATCCATTATCTCAACACTCAAAGAGAATGCTTCTCATTTTTTTCTGGGACTCTTTTCAGAAAGGCAAGAATATTTTGATATTCATTCACTCATTTTCTCATTGATTCATTCATGTATACATCCTATTGGGGGGTGGGCTTTGGAACTACTGGTTAAGAGACCCTCATCCCATGCTGGAGTGCCAGGGTTCAAGTCCTGGCTCCACTCCAGATTCTAGCTTCCTGTTAATGTGCACCCTACGAAGTAGCGAGTGACGGCTCAATTATTTGAGATCCTGCCTCCCACCTGAGAACCTCATATTTAGTTCACAGCTGCTGGCTTCAGCCTGGCCCATCCCTGGCTATTGAAGCCAGCTGGATAATGAATCAGTGAATCTGTCTCTCTGGCTTTCAAATAAATAAGTAAAATTGTTTTATTAAACATTCCTACCATATTTACTAAGCAGGAATTGTGTGCCAGGCACAGTGTTGAGATTCGGGATATGAAATTTAGAAAAACATTGCAATGCCTACTCTCATAAGATTTGCAGTCTCATGGGGAGAGAGTTGATTTAAAAATCCCTGAAAAGTGATTTAATTGTCATTGTAGTAAGTGCTAAAAATAAAAGCTAAGCCATCTTGGGTACTAATTAATTATGTGACAGGAACAGTTCCAAGTGTTTTATGCATATTAATTCATTTAATCCTAAGAACAACTCTTTGAGGGAGTTAAAAGAGGAAAGGATTAGAGCAAATAAGATCTGAAGGGCATGGGCTCCTTTGGTAAATCCAGGAATATCAGAATGAGGGGGCATCATTGGACAAGTTGCCAAGAGTTCACACATACCTACTGTTTACCATTCACTGTGCTATATACGTCACAGAGTTCAACCCCTGTCAGAATCTCAGCATAATCATGGTGATTAGATTAAGGATGGGGAAAATAAGGTGCACAGACTCTGCGCCACTTGTCCAAAATCACGTATTTTGTAGGTGCTGACCCCCAAGACTGTAGCTTTGATGTGCTGGACCCCACATCCAACTCTATTTTAACCTGTGAGCAGCTGATACAAAAGAGTCTTCACCTTGTCTATATCCTGGAAAATACTGGTAGAATAGAGAGGGCAGAGGATCTGTGTATCTGAGTAAGAGCTACAGTGATGCCTTCTGCAGATGAAATGGAACTTGGTTGGAACTGGGTGTGCTGAATCTGTAGCCTTTAAATATATTTCAAGGAAAGCAGCCAGCTGCTTTTACAACTTCCCATTTGAAGGGCAGCTGGGGACAGCAGCATCGGCACCACCTGTGCTGGCTGGAAAAGGAAACTCTGGGGTCCTATCACAGATCTCTGAGTACCTGGAATCTACACTGAGATGGTCTCCCAGCCACAGTTCAGTTTGAGAGGCTCAGGTATAGAACAGCTGAAAAGACTAAGTTACCAACCCTGGCTGTGATGCTCAATGGCCGTTATTTGACCTGCCCAGAATTCCTCTGCCTCCCCCATGAGGATGACCTCAGCCTTCCTCACATAAGAGCTTTGAACTATTGAAAAGGCAGATTTTGTAGAGACTTAGAGTCTCTCGCAGTGTGTGGTCCATGGACCACCTATACCAGAATCACCTGTGAGTTTATTTAAAAAATATTTCTTTTAAAAACAGGCTGTTCAGAATGGCAATAAATGCCAAAATGTGGTATAATGATGTATTCAAATGCCTTGAGAAAAAAGGCTTCCCAATGAGAACTGAATAGTCCTCCTAAGGTGTTTGTGTGGAACAGGAATACAGTTTAGACAGACAGTGTCATCCTAATTTTAATGTACTTTTTTGGTTTCAGGTTTTTAGTTTTATAATAAGTATTGAAACCACCCCACCTCACACCCACTGCCCCCCAAAAAACCTCTGCATAATGATCGGAGAAAAACTCTCAAGAGAATAGTGGTATTTATTTGGGAGGAGAAGACCATTGCACATGGCATGCCAAACTTGAGTGTGTCCAGAGACTGAAGCAAGGACAACTTTTTAAATGTGCAGTGAGGGTTGTGTAAGATATATTGAAACAGTAATCCTTAGCTACAAGGATTACTAACAAGCATGGCACCAGTCTGAATGGAACACACACTGAAGGGGCAGTGTTATGGCCATTGTGCAAGGTTGCAGGTCTGGCAGAGTTTTTCATGCATAGTTTTTGCTGTCAAGCATATGTTCATCAAGGATCATAAACTTGCTATATTTAGGCCTTCATAAACTCCTGGCTTTAATGATTTTTTGGAGGGGGGGAATAGCAAGAGCAAGAGGTTAAGGCTTGATGGTGGTAGTGACTCCATTTTAATTCTGGCAACTTTTACAACATTACCAAATATGAAATCAGATTTAATTTTTTCATTTAAATAATTACTTGCTAGAAGGAACTATCATTGTGGAATGTGTGCTTTGGACCCAGCCAAATACTTGTTCCAGTTCTTCACTGCCTGCATGCTTTTGAGTGATTTACATTGGTACGAATCTTAGTTTTTCTCATCTGTAAAGTGAGGAAAGAATTCTCACTGTTGGGGAGGGAAGGAGCTGCTATGAGGATCTCAGCAGTTCTCACAAATGTGTGGCATTATAGTATTAGCCTACATAAATCATAAATGTTCTTATTGGCTATTAAGTAGAATGAAATTTCACAGTCATTGCTTTCCAATTATCTCTATTATCAAGCCATAATCATGAAATTATAGATTAGCTGCTGTCAATAGGAACCCAGTTTGAATACTTTTGAAGTGCTGTTTAACTTAATTGAGAATATAGATCTTGTCACTATATTTATTCACTTATTCATGCAAGAAATGTTGATGAATATTCTACTAAGTGCCAGAAAGCTTCTCAAGGCCTGGGGTCGGAGTGTGCTGGTCTTCAGTGCAACTTGGAGGGGCAGGAATAATGAAACAAGTTCTATCAAGATTGATAGAGAAATGAACAGGTAGAGGGAAGTGGCCATTCTTTCAAAGGCCTAGTTGAAAGAGCTGATTTAAACAATGAATTTATGAGAAGAAACTTAGAGAAAAGTTTTGGAAATATAAATAACTGTTTTCATCATTGCAAGTTTTAGATTTTCTCTCTAGGTTTACTTAAAAGTGAAGAGTCACCCTACTGGAAAATTTTGAGTTGATTCGATGCTTGATGACCAAAACTTGATGACTCCCTCTTCTGTGCCCCCACAGAGTTTGTGATGAATGCAGGTTCATGGCACTTAGCAGTTGACAAAGTCAAGCGTCATTTGATGTGTTGCTCACAATAGCCCCATGAAACAGATTAATTGTAGATTGCGTTTTCCATCAAGTGACAGAAACCATGGCTCTGCACTGGTAGGGAGCAACGCAGACATAAACCTCGGTTCTCTTTCACCTACCATAAAAGAAAGGTAACGGCTTTGGGCTCCAGGCTTCAGACTTCTGTGTGTTGCTATATTTAGGCATTGCCTGGATTCATTGGGGTTATTTTAGGCTCAAGCCATTACCATTGTCTAAAAGGGATGGTGTTGAGAATGAAAAGAGAATAAATGATATGAAAGCAAATGGAATTTCTGAGTCATGGCGCATCAGCTTGAAGACAACTTTATCCTCATAGATATAAATCTGGTTAGGCTATTATGGAATTTTCTGAACTGTACTTAAATTTTAGCCTGGACTTTTAAAGCATTTACTCCAAAGAAGCTCTCTTTTAATACTTTTTGATTTAAACTTATGACCAATTTTATTCTTACTGGCTCAGAATTGAAATGGTATCCCAGGGAATTCTACCAGTTAAGCACATAATACGTATCTTAGAAAATCTTAGGTCTGGCTCTGTGGTATAGTGGATAAAGCTGCACCTGCAATGCTGGAATCCTGTATGGCACCAGTTTGTGTTCCAGCTGCCGGACTTCTCATCCAGTGTCCTGCTAATTGTCTGGGAAAGCAGTGGAAGATGGCCCATGTATTTGGGCCTCTGCATCTCCATTGTGGGAAATTTTGAAGAAGCTCATGGCTTCTAGCTTCAGCCTGGCTCAGTCCTAACCATTGTGACCATCTGGGTGATGAACCAGCAGATGAAAGGTGTGTGTGTGTGTGTGTGTGTGTGTGTCTTCCTCTGTTACTCCAATTTTAACTAAATAAATCTTCTAAAAAAGAAAATAGAAGTCCTCCCCCTTGTTATATCACTAGTATGCAAGCATCACATTGATCTAATAATGGAAATATGATAACTAATATGTTGGAAAAAATAGCATTTTAAAACTTTGAGCACAATTAGAACACAACTGCACTCCAGTTGACCTATGTCCACCTGTGGATTCTTAAATGACCTCATTAATTTTCTAGTTTTATTGTATTAAGGTGACAATTTACATTACATTGTTAAAATTCTGGTTCAAACAATTTCCATAATCACATCTTATACTGTCATTAGTGATCTTGCCTTAGTTTCTTTCACACACACAAGCACAAAAGCATAATGTAAATTCTCCCCTCAACTCCATTTGGAACATGATATTAAGGAAAAAGTAGGAAATACGCATGGATGTTTGGCAATTGTCGCTAGCAGTACAAACAGCTGAAAGGGTAGTACAAATGGATTTCTAATGTATGTAGTCCCTAAGTTCTGGCAGGGTAGATATTTTTCCAGTAATGCATCAATGTAAAAATAATTTAAGAATGTCAATTAAAAAGAAATTCATTCGTAAATAATAAAGCATGACTGAAGGGCAATTTTCTCTGCAATCATAATTTTTTTTATTTTTTATTTTTGTTTTTTTGACAGGCAAAGTTAGAGAGACAGAAAGGTCTTCCTTTTTCCGTTGGTTCAGCCCCCCAAGTGGCCATTATGGCCAGTGTGTCGCAGCTGGTGTGCTGCGCTGATCTGAAGCCGAGAGCAAGGTGTTCCTTCTGGTCTCCCATGTGGGTGCAGGGCCAAAGGACTTGGGCCATCCTCCACTGCACTCCCGGGCCACAGCAGAGAGCTGGCCTGGAAGAGGAGCAACCAGGACAGAATCCGGCACTCCAGCCAGGACTAGAACCTGTGGTGCCAGCGCCGCAGGCGGAGGATTAGCCTAGTGAGCTGCGGCACGGGCCTGCAATCATAATTTTTAAGATGGTCACATTCTGAAAGCAATTTTCTTTAGCCTCATTCTCCTAGGTTCTTGAAGATAAGAGTTACAATTCATCATGAGTTAGCCATAGCATCTGCTACATGCACGGGGGTTGAAGCTAGAAATAACCTAATGGGGCCGGCATTATGGTGTAATGAGTTAAGCCACTATCTACAATGCCCACATCCCATATGGGCACTGGATCAAGTCCCAGCTCCTCCACTTCTGATCTAGCTCCCTATGGATGGCATGGGAAAAGCAGTCTAATATGGCTCAAGTGTTTTGGCCTTGCCACACACATGGGACACCTGGAAGAAGCTCCTGAGCTCAGACTTTGGCTTGGCCCACTCCTGGCCATTGCAGCCATCTGGGGAGTGAACCAGTGGATAGAAGATCTCTATCTCTCCTTCCCTCTCTCTCTCTTTATCTCTAATTTTCAAGTAAATGAATATTTTAACAGTAAAATAGTTTTTGAAATAATAACATGTCAATAACAGGATCAGAAAATCAAAATACTTTGTAATTTTAAGCATGCTGATATTCTTCAATAACTCTTGCTCATTACAATGCTTGGACTACAGTGTTATTTAGTTGCTCTGTTAAAAAACAGTTAAAAAAATTTACTGACTTCCATAATGTGCTGAGTATCAGGGAAAGTTCATGCTGCTAAGCCCTACTGAATCTACCAGTTGAGTTGTACATTTACCCACTCAGTAAGTCAGTTGTATTAAAATTCAAAAAAAGGGCCAGCGTTGTGGTGTAGTGGTTTAAGCCACAGCCTGTAGTGCCAGCATCCTGTATGGGCACTGGTTCCAGTCTCAGCTGCTCCACTTCCAATCCAGCTCCCTGCTAATACACCTGGAAAAGCAGTGGAATATGGCCAAGTGCTTGGGCCCCTGCATAGACAGGGGAGACATGGATGAAGCTCCTGGTTCCTGCCCTTGGCCTGGGTCAGCCCTGGATGATGCAGCTACTTGGGGAGTAAATCAGTGGATGGAAGGTCTCTTTCTCTTTGTCTCCTCCTCTCTCTGTTATTCTTTCAAATACACAAAATGAATCTTTTAAAAAAATGAACTTCAAAGAAGATCCTCATTTTTCTCTCTTCATTTGCCTTTTAAATGATTGCATATAGTGTGTGTGTGTGTGTGTGTGTACACGAGCATGCACCTGTACCTCTGTGTGTGACTTTCTTCAAATGTTAATGGTTTTACCCCGCTCCCATTAAATTCTTTATTCTGAAATAGACCTTGGGAGAGCTGTTTGGCTTAATGGTTAAGATGCCATTTAAGATGACTGCATTCCTCCTGAGTACCTGTGTTTGATACCTTCCTCTGCTTCCGACTCCAGTTTCCTGCTAATGTGCACCCTGGGAGGCAATGGTGATGGCTCAAGTGACTGGGTTCCTGTCACTTATGTGGAAGACCTGGACTGAGTTTGTGGCTCCCAGTTTTAGCCCCAACTGGAGATGATTGTGAGCAATGAGAAGTGAGCCAGAAGATATGATCTCGTTTCTTTCTGTCTGTATTTCTCTTTCTCTCTTTTTCTTTCTCTTTCTCCCTCCCTCTTCCAAATAAATTATTTAACTACAAAAACTTACTCTGATGTGGACATCAAACATCAAGCCCACTCTGTTGCTACTCAGCATATATTAAAAAAAATTGTTTATTTACTTGAAAAGTAGAGTACCAGAAAGAGAAGGTTGAGAAAATTAAGGAGAAGGGATGGGAGGAGAGAGAGAGAGAGAGAGATTGATCTTCCATCAGCTGGTTCACTTTCTAAACTGCTGCAACATCTATATCTGGAGCAGGCCAAAGCCAGAAGCCAGGAATTCCATCCTGGTCTCCCACATGGGTGACGGGGTCCCAAGTACTTGGCCCCTCTAATGCTGCTTCCCCACATGCATTAGCAGGGAACTGGACTGGAAGCAGAGCAGCTGGAACCTGAGCCAATGCTTTGACATGGGATGTTGGCATCACAGGTGACATCTTCCTGTGCTGCACCACAAAGTTAGCTGCTGATCATCGTCCTAAGATATAATTTGGGCCTTTAGTAGGTCCCCAGGAAATGCCTAGTTAATGAATAAATAACAATTATTTACAATTCAGTTTTCCATCAGCTTTCTCTTGCATCAGTACCTTGAAGCCTCCTCAGAAAGACTTGCCAGGTGAAGGGTAGGTTGATGAAATTGATCAGATAAGAGAATGGGATGGGTGGGACAAGAATTAACAGCTCTCACTTTTTCTTGAGCACTTGACTGTGGGCTAGGCATGGGCAGAGGACATTAAATACATTCAGTCGTTGAACTCTCACAACACTATGAGGTAGGGACTGTCTCACTCCCTTGAGAAAGGGTAATATAGATGGCCTGAGGGATCATACTTGATGGTTTTGTTCAAGGACATAGAACTAGGAAGTGATGGTATAAGATTTATTCCAAGGTCTGGTTCAATCTGAAGCCCACATTCTTTTTTAAAGTTCATTTACTTATTGGAGAGACAGATTTAGAGAGAGAGTTCCCATCCACGTGTTCACTCCCCAAATGCCTACAATGTCCAGCCCAACACTGAGAACCAGCAACTCATTCCAGGTCTCTCATGGGAGTGGCAGGGCCCTAACCACTTGTGCCATCAATGCTGTCTCCCTGGGTGCACATTAGCAGGAAGCTGGAGTCAGGAGCAGAGACAGGACTGGAACACAGGCACTCCAGTATGGGATGCAAGCACCTTCATCGCCAGGTGAATTTCTTGCTTCTTTGCTTATAAGAAGACTGACTGACTTGTTTTTCAACGACCATGTTTACAACAACTGGAAATTGTGAAAAGGGCAAATCTGATTCATGGTCATGGTTCTTTTCCTGAATTATTGCTATTTATCCCATCCCTCTGGTGAAGAACCTACTCTGTTTTTTTATTTCTTGAATTTATTTATTTATTTATAAGCCACAATAGTACAGGGAGAGGGAGATCCAGATTTTTCACCTGCTGTTTAACTCCCCAAATGCACACAACAGCCCAGGATAGGCTGGACCCAAGCCAGGAGCCAGAACAATATCTGGATCTCCCATGGATAGCAGGGACCCAAGTCCCTGAGCCATCATCTGCTACCTCCCAGAGTGCATTAGCAGGAAGCTGGATCAGAAGCAAAGGCAGGACTCCATCCCAGGCACTGTGATATGGGATGAAGATGCCTCAAGACATAGGATAATCCACCACAATGCCTGCTTCAGAACCCACTCTTCACCCTGGCCCATTTCTCTTTGGATTTTCTTTTTTCCCCCTACCTTGACATCCTTGACCTCAAGTTTACCTTGGAATAATTGGTGTGCACTTCACCTCAGATGAGGACAGAACACACACATACCAATAAAACTGTGTTTTATCTTCTGACAGTTGGTGGATACAGGTTGCTAATGGGCCCCTTGACAATGCCTTCTCCTGGACTGTCTTGTAGGGCTGCCAGCTGTGTGAAGGATGAGCTGCTCACAGCTGTGGGCTTTGCTTGTTTCTCCCTAAGTGGGGCCCTTACCCTCTAAGCTTAGATTGCCTTTTCTAGCTTCTCTTAAGCACCTCTCAGAGTCCTCCGAGAATATGGTCCATGCTCAGAGCCCTCTTGTTTGCCCTCTCCAAAGATAAGAATGAAATTCCTCACAAATTCCTCTGTGCTTTTTCTTCGCATAAATTCTGACTTCCCAAGAAAAGTTTTCAGTTCCAGTTAATTATGTGGGTTTTTTTATTCTAACAATGCCATTTTATGGAATTTTGATTTCCACTTATATTGATTGTTTTTTACAAAATTTTATTATATAAAGAGAACAGATTTTATGCTTTCCATAGGTAAAATTCCAAGAAGACCACACTTCCTTCACTCCCCTACTCCTCACCAATTCCCCTCCTCCCTCCCCTCTCTTCAGTAGTTTTTGCAGACATAATTGTAATCTACTCTCTTTTCACAGGCTTAATTCACCACTAATCATGATATTCAACAAATAAAAAGTAGGAAGATCACAGTTCCACAGGATTATAAACACAAGCGAAAAATGACAATCTGATCCCAAAGTGACCATTTCATTCCTTTACATTTTTTCTATTCCATATTAGCTGCTACATATCAGGGAAAATATATGAGATTTGTCTTTTTGAACCTTGTTTATTTACATAAGCATAAAGTTTCTTTGTATATGATTTCTTATCCTCTCTTTAAAGTCTTGTTGTTGTTCCTGGCCCCCAGAACTTTTTAGGGCATCATTGTCTCACCAGCATACATAGCACCGGGCATAGAAAGTTATTTTTAATGAGTTCTTTGGTGATATTTCTTACAGCTGCTAAAATAAATTCAGTCGAAGTAAGATTGAAGTGATCTTCAAGTGCTTAACAAACTGCCTTTATTATCTTGGAAACAGGAAAATGTAAAAACCCACAGATTCAAGACAGTAATTAAGCTTCCACATTTAGCAAAGGATCAGAAGTCTCAGCAGAGCAGAGTCTAATTTGTGTCACCTACACAAGAAGGAGGTACTCTACTGAACAAGTGTACAAACCCACAGAGCTCAAACCATCTCATGGACATGTTGAGTATTCAGCAAACTTCGTTCCAGGAAGAGAGAAGACTCTACTTTCGCCTAGTTTCATGCCTTAAGTTTAAGTTTACATACTTACCTTACCCTTGGCTGATGCTTTGCATATTAGTGTTATCTTCAGACATGATAAATTTCATATTGACTTGCTTTTTTATTTGCCTGTTTTACCCAAAATGGTTGGCTTTTCCAACCTATTTATAGGAATCATTCTCTCCTTTCAAGAGCCTCAGTTCTTTTTCATCTTCCTCTGTTGACTCGTAATCCTAGTGAGGTGTACACCTTTTATGAAAACACGGGTATTTGGGGTACTAAATTTTGTTTGCTTTTGACATATGATAAGGTAATTCATTTATCACACTTCAAAAAGTCTCATGAAATCTGGCAACATTAGTTCTCCAGTGAATGTATATGGTTTATTTTGATGGCATCGCACTGTGCCTCTCTTCCTTGATAATCTTGAGTTTAAGTTTAAGTATCAACTTTTGCCACGTAACAGCCCATTCTAAAATGGAGTGTCTTGAAGCCACACCACTTAAATAACTCATGAATCTGTGGATAACCAGTCTGGCCTGAGCTCGGCTTGATCACTTATCCTCTGGCCTTGGCTGAGGTGGTCATTTTCTGATTGATCGGATGGCTTTCTTTCTAAGAGTCAACTTTCTGTCAACCGGGAAAGCAGGGTTGAGTCGGCCACTTAACTTTCTTCATCTAATGCTGTCTTGACTCTCTCTGGGTTCTAGGTGTGTGAGCAAGTTGCAATATCTTAAGACTTGGGATTGGGCTTGGGCCAGTGCCATGGCTTACTTGGTTAATCCTCTGCCTCTGGTGCCGGCATCCCATATGGGTGCTGGGTTCTAGTCCAGGTTGCTCCTCTTCCAGTCCAGCTCTCTGCTGTGGCCCAAGTGTTTGGGCCCCTGCACCCGCATGGGAGACCAGGAAGAAGCACTTGGCTCCTGGCTTCGGATCAGCGCAGCTCCAACTGTAGTAGCCATTTGGGGAGTGAACCAGCGGAAGGAAGACCTTTCTCTGTTTCTCTCTCTGACTGTCTAACTCTGTCAAATAAATAAATAAACATCTAGCACATTCTCTCTGAATTAATCTTGCCTATCTTGTCTCTCTCCCACTTCAGAACCCGTCATGCTTCCCCAGGATCCAATACACCATGCTCAAGTTCTCTACAGGCCACACTTGCTGATTTGTCCCCAACTCACCTGCCCAGATTTGCTTCTACCACCTATCAGTTTGAATTTTCACACACCTCTCTGAAATGAGGCCCTTCACCAGCCCGAAACACTCAATAATTGTTTATATTCTTTAATTCACACTCAGTTTTCTTTATCCTTTTAAACTTGTAAACGCTAACCCTTCCTCTCCAGAGCCAAAAGGCCATAGTCTATGATTTTTGACATTCCTGTCATTCCATTATGTATTGGAGCATCATTACATATATTACCAGGCAATTATGTTTCATGTTAAATTAGCCCAATATTCATGCATGCAAGTGCTGTCTCCTCCAGCAAAGTATGACCTCCTTGAGAGTCAGAAGGCAATTCACATCTGCATTTTGCAATCTCTAGATCTTATTGGACAAGACATGGACAAAATATTCCAATATTAACATATAGGAAATGCTCTGTTGCTTCATTCAGCAAAGTCATCCTTGACACTTCCCTCATCCACCATCCTCCAATTCATCATGAAACCATGTCAAGTTTGCCTCCAAACTATCTCTCCCTCTAACTATGTCTCTACATCTTCTCTTGTTTCTCTTTCCCTTGGTCACTCCAACCTCCTATAAAAGTTCCTGCTGTCTTTCTTCATGTACGGACTACAGCCATCATTTCCAAATTCAAGTGCACTCACCCAATTCCCCAGCTTAACAAGCTCTAGTTAATTCCTATTGATTTTTGTTTGTTTAACATTCAATAACAGCCACGGCCAAAGGCCCTGTAGCATCTAGCCACTGCCTGCCTTTCTGGATTGTTTCTTCCTATCTCTTCTATCATTGCTTCATCCAACTCAGTCACTCAAACATACCTGCTCCATTCCCTCATTGAGACTTTATACATAGCATT